TGATCAAAGTGCATTAATGCTGATATGTGGTCATGCATTTCATAAAAATTGCTATGAAATGAAAAATAATCAATGTACCTATTGCTTGGAATTTTATAAAGCGGGTATAATTTCCAACGTATCTTCTTATATAAAAAGACTAGAAAAAGAAAGTTTGACTGATTCGTTGGATGATGATGATGAATTCGAAGAGCCTGATGTAACAGGAGACGAGGAGGTAGAGGAAAATATAACTGAAGAACAAAAAATAGTTTTAGACTTTAAAAACGCTTTTGATTTAATTAAAAATTGGTAAAATAAAATTTTAATTTGAATAAAATGTTTACATACACGTAGTGTTTATTTCAAACTTTAGTTCTCATCTAACTTTTGATCTAGACATGATCTTTTGATCTTATTTAATCTACTAGTAAAGGCAAACATAAAAAACGTTTCTGCGCAAAAAAATTAATATGTACCTTAATAATATTTTTTTTGTATACATATACGCCTTTTTTCTATTTTAAAACAATTGAAATCACATGTTTCACAACATAAAAAAGATCAACAATCGATTTTGTCACAAAGTGATAAAACGAGTGTCCATTATGCTGATTAGGACACTGTATATTGTTTTTTGTATAAGTGGGTCATTATCATAGGTAATAAGTAACACCATGCACAAGCGTTGACAAGGACCTATGGTATCGCCCTTAAATAGGAATAGGCAAAAGATGGTGAAAACTGGCACCACAATGGCTATCCTTAATTATGCACTTTGCGGAAAACATATAAACGACAGCCTCATTCTTGGTCAAAGGAAGCATGGGAAACGTGAGAACCTTAGGTACGCTCAAATATGGCAAGAAAGCAGCCCCATGTGGAATGGACTCCTTGATTAGGACCTCGAGATGGAAACCAAGGCTTGCCACAGTGGATCTTGTTTATATGAGGATTTGGAAAAATTACAATATGTTTAAAGGAGCGACAGCTGCTGGGAGACTCTGTGCAGGTAACCAAACACTATCAAACCAGATGCTAACCTTTAATGAAAAAGTGGAACTAAATTGGTAGTCACACTAAAACTGATAAAATCGGGTTGGTCAAGGGATGAAGAAACATGTTATGTGGTGTAAGGATTGGGAAACCGTGAATGATAGCATATCCACTGGAAGTGTACACCCAGACTCCAACATTGTGGCAAGATTGTCAAATTGCCAGAACCCCCTAAAGCCCAAGGTACCGCAGGAGGCATGAAAGCGGCTCTGACAGCAGCACGTTGAAAGACGTGTTCGAGCTTAATCCAGCAGTAGTTTTAGCCATTGCTTTCTTAATGTTTGTTTATCTTTGCTGGAAATATAAGCAGAAACAGCAAGATGTTGGTTAAGAAACCACAGAAGTGGTAGTGTTAAGCTGCTGAAAGAAGGAACCACAACAAAGCCTTAGGATAATTAGCTTTTAGTGGGTTTTTGTCGGCAAATTCCCAGTAAGCCTAGTTTAGTTTTGGCTAATTTAGTTACTATTGGTTTTTGTTTATAGGTTAATCTGAGGGATAGCCTGACCTGATTGATTGAGCTGAAAACCCTGCATTAAACCAGGGGGCATGTATTTGCTCAAAACTCATGATATCATGATGGAGTGTATATGTGAAGGGAGACTAGTTTTAGGTAATCAGACTCAGAAGGGCCATTGAAAAACCCACTATGAGCAATAAATCCGGAGAAGCAGCTTTGTATAAACTAGTCAGACTTCGCACTCCTTGCTCTTCTAATTGCGTTTAAAAAGTTAGGAGACGACTTACACACACATTAAAATATGTTAATGGGAAATCAGCAGCCAAGTGGCTTGGGCTCAGTGGTGCGATAACATCAATCCAACCCAACCATGCAGTTCACAGACTAAACAGCAATGGCAACCTGTAGCAAAACAACCATTACTTTGAGTTTTGGCTCTGTTAGGTTATTGGAAGTTTAAGATATAGTTGACAGATGCCCGAAAGGGTATCTAGGTTAGTTTACTTAGATGAGCTGAGTTAAATTAAGCCAGCCCTGGTAAGTACTATATAATGCAGTCTTAATATAAAAACAATGAATGCTAAGGATATGTCAAGATGCTGAAATAGATCAAAAAGGCACAAAATGCTAAGGGCTAGAATCAAATTGAAGGATCCAAATGGCTCCAAAGGGATTCTGGACTACTGGTGTTCATCTGGGCCCTACACAGATGTTCATTGGAAAAACAGATGAACGGAGGAAAAAGGCAGTGAACAAAAGGCGATAACCCATTCTATACATACAAAGCTTTTGGGTCATAAGAATCAAACTGATTGTAAAGAGGAGAGGTTGGTAGAACCTTCTGGGTGCCAACTTGCGATCATCAGTGGCGTTCCTGTATAGTCTAAAAGTGTCAAAATGCTTAGGTTTGATGAAATGAATTCCAGGGCCGGACTAGCTATCGGACTGTCCTGTGTGTGACACAGGAGCTTCTGCCAGCATTCTGGTACAGATGCAGTTCTAAACCTTTTCGACATCAGTTGATGGGTATATCCAAACCAATGACCTTGAGATGTGTATTCTTAAGTGCTTTTTTATATTTTAACTATATTAAAGGAGCATGGTGGACATCTGAAATGTTACACTAATTTTTATGTGCGTAATGTAATTTTTAAAGTAAAAAACTTTATTGTTCAATATATATGGCAAAGGTAATACATTTGGAGTATAGATCATGGTAGTTGCCATATGAGCAACATTTGATAGATTTTCATCAATTGGATTTCAG